CAGAATAAACACGACTCGTACATAAACTTATAAAATTAAAAGCGTTATTATTACATAACCTAAGGGTGGCATTTTTGTTGTCTTCCCCCAAACATTTTGGTGATCCCGACGATGATCGCTGTTTTATTTGCCGTCTGCAACTCGATTTTATTATTGTTTAATATCGTTTAAATAATATATTTTGGTTTCGCTGTCGTTTGCGGGCATTCGGTCACAAACACACGGACTTACATACATAAAAGTGCACACAGCTGGCCGTTTAAGTTTTACATTTCGCGCTGTGAAAAGCCGGCAGGCGGTTGATCTTTTCGTACATTTCTCGCTGTGAAAAAATCAAAACAGTGTTGTGCTGCAAATTATAAACAAAAGGAGAATAACATTTAACTATTCTAAAGGTGCCTAGTGCAGTGCATTCATATTCCTCTCGTTTTCGACGACGCTTGGTGCCGCGCATTTTTCGCGGCAAAGGTTAAAAGGTTATTCACCCTTCTTAACCGGTTCGGACATTTTTATTTTATTTTTTTTTTGTATGCGACTAAGAAATGGCTGCTCCAGAAAACGCGGTTCGGCCTCAAAATGACGCGCCAAATAAAATAGAATTTTTTCGCGCCAAAGTGCAATCAGTTCTGCGGCAAGCAAACGCGATGAAATTGTATTTAACAACTGAGTCTATAGATCAGTTGGATGAAGCTGATCTTCTCGCGCGATTGGACTGGGTCAATTTCTTAAATTCGTAATTTGACTCCGCACAGACATCGCTGGAACGGCTGGATTTAAAGGAGACTTCGAGTGATAGGCGATGGGAATTTTCGGAGGTTTTTATGGATGTGAATTTATGGATGCGAAGCTCAATAGAGGCTTAGCGGCCCAGCGCAAATTGCAATTGTCGGGTAGCACAGCTGCCAACTCCACATCTATAGACATCAACCACCATTCTGATCTTTCTTTTCGGACACGGAAGCCTCGATTACCCAACCTGGAGATTGCTCGTTTTCATGGATCTTATGCTGAGTGGCCGGACTTTCTCGCAACGTTCACCGCGGTCATTGGAAATGATGACGAGCTAAGCGACATTGAAAAGCTGTAATATTTACGGTCTAGTCTAGGCGGCGTGGCTCTGGAGACCATACGCTCGCTCGAACCTTCAAATGACAATTATAAAAAGGCTTTGAATCTGCTCATAAATCGATTTGATAATAAAGTTTTACATTTTTTAGGCACACGTACAGGCAATATTTGGTTTAAAAGGTGTCGAGAAGGGATCTGCCAAGGGTCTTCGTGAGCTCAGCAATTCTATGAACGCACATCTTCGGGCAATCCATACGCTGGCCACTACACTGGATTACTGATTCATATCGTCGTTCACAAGCTGGATCAGCGGACTCGGGAATAATGGGAAGAGGATTTGCCAATTGCTGAGTTATCTTCATGGACTGCTATGGAGTCGTTTTTGGAGAGGAGGTGCAGGATGATGGAAAATTTGGATCAAGCTTTGGTAACGCAAACACCAGGCCAAGTGCACTCATTGCGTCTTCTACTAACTTAAATCATCCAATATGCCTATTTTGCGATGCGAGAGATCATTATTTGCCAAAGTGCTCTCGATTTTTAAATTTGAGCCCGCATCTTCGATTTAGAGAAGCCAAGAAAATGCACCTTTGTCTAACCTGTTTGCGCAAGGGGCATAGTTTGCAGCAATGTAAATCAACTCATTGCAGATATTGTCGCATAAAGCACCACTCACTATTGCATATGACCCCTGACTCATCCGCACCACCTCCATCATCAGACCCACTCTCGAGCTCTCAGCCATCACCATCTACTTCATCAGCACTGGTGTCATGCTCGCAACTTGATCATCAGGTATCGCACCCTCCACCAAATGCTTCAAATACTGTGCCAATAAATTACGTGTTGCTGCCTACTGCTATTGTCTATGTAAAAAATAGGGTTGGTCAATTTCTTAAATTCGTAATTTGACTCCGCACAGACATCGCTGGAACGGCTGGATTTAAAGGAGACTTCGAGTGATAGGCGATGGGAATTTTCGGAGGTTTTTATGGATGTGAATTTATGGATGCGAAGCTCAATAGAGGCTTAGCGGCCCAGCGCAAATTGCAATTGTCGGGTAGCACAGCTGCCAACTCCACATCTATAGACATCAACTACCATTCTGATCTTTCTTTTCGGACACGGAAGCCTCGATTACCCAACCTGGAGATTGCTCGTTTTCATGGATCTTATGCTGAGTGGCCGGACTTTCTCGCAACGTTCACCGCGGTCATTGGAAATGATGACGAGCTAAGCGACATTGAAAAGCTGCAATATTTACGGTCTAGTCTAGGCGGCGTGGCTCTGGAGACCATACGCTCGCTCGAACCTTCAAATGACAATTATAAAAAGGCTTTGAATCTGCTCATAAATCGATTTGATAATAAAGTTTTACATTTTCAGGCACACGTACAGGCAATATTTGGTTTAAAAGGTGTCGAGAAGGGATCTGCCAAGGGTCTTCGTGAGCTCAGCAATTCTATGAACGCACATCTTCGGGCAATCCATACGCTGGCCACTACACTGGATTACTGATTCATATCGTCGTTCACAAGCTGGATAAGCGGACTCGGGAAAAACGGGAAGAGGATTTGCCAATCACTGAGTTATCTTCATGGACTGCTATGGAGTCGTTTTTGGAGAGGAGGTGCAGGATGATGGAAAATTTGGATCAAGCTTTGGTAACGCAAACACCAGGCCATCAGGTGGGAAAAAATGTGCATAAATATAACCCAAGTGCACTCATTGCGTCTTCTACTAACTTAAATCATCCAATATGCCTATTTTGCGATGCGAGAGATCATTATTTGCCAAAGTGCTCTCGATTTTTAAATTTGAGCCCGCATCTTCGATTTAGAGAAGCCAAGAAAATGCACCTTTGTCTAACCTGTTTACGCAAGGGGCATAGTTTGCAGCAATGTAAATCAACTCATTGCAGATATTGTCGCATGAAGCACCACTCACTATTGCATATGACCCCTGACTCATCCGCACCACCTCTATCATCAGACCCACTCTCGAGCTCTCAGCCATCACCATCTACTTCATCAGCACTGGTGTCATGCTCACAACTTGATCGTCAGGTATCGCACCCTCCACCAAATGCTTCAAATACTGTGCCAATAAATTACGTGTTGCTGCCTACTGCTATTGTCTATGTAAAAAATATGGTTGGTTCATTTATGTCCTGTCGAGCAATCTTAGATTCCGCTGATTAGATTAGATTTCTGGGATCGGTGAGTCCTCTATGAACTCTGATAAATCAGTGGATATTTTTGCGCAATCACGAGATGCAGGCTATCATTCACAGCTGTTGTGACTCACAGTATCACTGATTATCAGCCGAATTGCAATATAAATACATCAGGATGGAGGATTCCACAAAACATTTCGCTCGCTGACCCTTATTTCAACCAATCACAACAAATCGACTTGTTAATTGGCGCTGGTCTGTTTTTCGAAATAATTGCTATGGGGCAAATACATTTGGATAGCATGTTGCCAACACTCCAAAACACCAAACTTGGTTGGATCGTTTCTGGTGGGATGTCGACTACTACAAATCATAAGTCTGTCTTAGCCGCCATTGTCAAGGATACTACGGATCATTCTGAGGATGACGCACTTGCTGCCATAGTAAAGCGATTTTGGGAAATTGAGGATTGTAATCCATCAAAGCCAGCACTGTTGCCTGAGGACTTGCAATGCGAACAACTATTCAAGGAAAACTGCACTAGACTTGGGAATTGTCAATACTCTGTTCGTCTCTTATCCACTTCGGTATTCGAAACTTTAGGTGATTCCTATTGCCTAGCTCGTCGTCGTTTTAGGAGTTTGGAAGCTAAGCTAGATAGAAACCCTGTTCTCAAAGCTCAGTATTCGGCTTTTCTCCAGGAATACATCAACTTAGGCCACATGTCTCTCGCACCAAAGGATCCAACAGTACCACAATTCTTCTTGCCACACCATTGTGTACATAAGCAGGAAAGTACGAGCACAAAGCTTCGGGTCTGCTAGAATTACTTCTAGCAGCTCTCTGAACGACTTGCTTCTTGCAGGGCCAACAATTCAGCAAAAAAATCTTTAACATTCTGCTTCGCTTCAGATTTTTTAAAGTTGCCCTCTGTGGAGACATCTGCAAGATTTACCGCTGCGTGCGTGTGTCGCACCCGGATGACTTTTTGCAGTGTATTGTTTGGCGAGAGAAGTCCACGGATGAGTTGAGTGTTTACAAACTAAACACGGTGACTTATGGTATCAAGCCAGCTGCATTTTTTGGCTATAAGAGCCATGCATCAGTTCTCTTATGATGAGGAGGAATCGTTTCCAATTGGAGCAAAAATTGTTCGAAGGGACTTCTACGTGGATGATTTAATCTCTGGTGGCGAGTCAATTGAAGAGGTTAGAGAAATTCGTCGTCAGGTGAAGGAGCTGTTATCGCGAGCCCACTTTCCAATCCGTAAATGGTGTTCTAATGATGGACGCGCACTCGAAGGAGAGTCTGACTGCAATAAGGAGAAGCTAATTCAATTTCACGACGGATCAGCTGTTACCAAGGCGCTGGGACTAGCCTGGGATCCCTCTTCTGACTAACTTCTGTTCAACTTTTCTCAATTATCTGTAAATCATCGAGTCACCAAGCGTAATGCACTTTCAACAATAGCCAAATTCAATGATCCGCTCGGTTTAATAACACCGATTGTCACAAAGGCCAAAATCTTTTTGCAATCCCTATGGAATGCTAACGTGGATTGGGATGTCACATTACCATCATTACGCTTTTATTGGCGGAGCTTATCGTAAGCGTCAAGGAAGCCATCGATTTCGAATGCGACTTTCATTGCTGGTCTGACTCGTCTATCGTACTTGCGTGGATTCGGCAGCCTCCGAGGGATTTCAAAGTATTTGTATCCAACAGAATCGCGAAAATTCAGGAGATGACAAAAAACATGACTTGGCACCATGTTCCAATAAGCTTAAATCCGGCGGATGTCGTATCGCGAGGCTGTACCCCGAGAGAATTGCTGGAGCACTCCCTGTGGGCTAACGGGCCTCCATTCCTGCATCAAAGCTCGTCGAAATGGCCCTCTCTTCCAAATGCAGTTAAGGATCTTCCAGAACGTCATTCCGCAGCGCTAGTTGGAACTGTTTGCACTGACATTTCGATCAACTGCAAATTCCCTAACTCTTTTCATAAGTTGCAGCGTGTATTTGCGTACATTTATCGGTTCATTTCGAATTGCAGAGCAAAATCTTCACCTTCAAGGAACCGTGTTACCATTGAGGAGCTCTATTTGGGGACCGTACTTCTTCTGAGGAGCATCCAACAGGTTCACTTAGCCAAGGAGTATGGATGTCTTAGCAAGGACAGGCCGTGTCCACAGAAGAGCAAGATGATTTCGCTGAGACCAATAATCGGCTCCGATGGATTACTTCGCGTTGGTGGAAGACTTCAGAATGCAAACCTGGACTTCGATACTCAGCATCCGATATTGTTACCCAAGGATCATCCAGTTACCAAGGCAATCATCGTATATTTTCATATAAAATACTTGCACGCAGGATCGCAAGCGTTACTTGCCACATTAAGGCAAAAATATTGGCCAATTGGAAGACGAAAGTTTGTGGCTACCGTTATCAACAAATGCATCAGATGTTTTCGGATGAAGCCTATCACTTGGGAGCACGTTATGGGCAGCCTGTCAGCAAATCGAGTTCAGCCTAACCCAGCATTTCATACCACGGAAGTGGATTATTGTGGACCATTTTATCATAAGGCAGAGGCCCGCAACAAGGCGCCTCACAAGTGCTACATCGCCGTCTTTCTCTGCTTCTCTACGAAGGACACGCATTTGGAAGTCGTCCAGGATCTCACAACGGATTCTTTCATAGCAGCGTTGAGAAGATTCACCAGCCTGAGGGGCACTCCGCGCACTATTTGGAGCTAACCGAGCTGAGGAATCTATTTCTGAGCGAACCCCACACGGCTGCGATAGCTTCCTCCTGCTTAGCTGATGGGATTGATTGGAAGTTCATACCTACGCGTGCCCCACATTTCGGTGTTTTATGGGAGGCGGCTGTTAAATCGGCCAAATTTCACTTTTATAGAGTCGTCGGTGTTTCCATATTGGGCCTCGATGAATTGAGAACTCTCGCTTATAAGATTTCTGCCATCCTTAACTCCCGTTCACTCTGTCCAATTTCAGAAAACGCTGATAGTCTTGAGGTGCTAACGCCGGCCCATTTCCTGAAAGGCTCCAGCTACACAAGGTTTCCTGAGCCTGATATCACGCATCTCCGAGAAGGCCGCCTCAGCAAATGGCAAAGGGTGACACAGATGCAGCAGCAATTCTGGAAGCGGTGGAGCAGCGAGTATTTATCCTTGCTCCAAGAAAGGAGTAAGTGGCGCGTCGAAACATCCAACATCAATGTCGGAAGCATCGTGTTGCTGAAGGAGGACAACCTTCCACCCTTGAAATGGCCGCTGGGGTGCATCCAAGGAGTCGTTTCTGGCGAGGACGGCGTCGTCAGAGTAGCTATGGTCCGTACAGCTACGGGTCTAGTCAAGAGAGCCGTCGCCAAGTTAGCCGTTCTGCCCATCGATTCCCATTTAGTTGGAGCCCTACTTCCTCCAACGGGGGGAGTATGTTTGGAGCAGCCCGCTAGCGCCTAGTCTAGTGCGCATAGGTGTATGGCTGAACCTGCAGGGCTCTTGCGCTCTCCTCTTTATATTTGCCTTATCCCGCTAAGCTGTCGCGCTACCTATTCATCGACTACATTTGTAAAACCCGAACCCGAACCCGGCCTCAAAATTACGCGCCAAATGAAATAGAATTTTTTCGCGCCAAAGTGCAATCAATTCTGCGGCAAACAAACGCGATGAAATTGTATTTAACAACTGAGTCTATAGATCAGTTGGATGAAGCTGATCTTCTCGCGCGATTGGACTGGGTCAATTTCTTAAATTCGTCATTTGACTCCGCACAGTCATCGCTGGAACGGCTGGATTTAAAGGAGACTTCGAGTGATAGGCGATGGGAATTTTCGGAGGTTTTTATTTTTTTTTTTTTATTTTAACTTTGCTTTTATTTATTGAATCTTCTCTTAATTTTGAGACTAACAATAAGTTTACGAATCTTAACATTAAAATTTAACTAACAGTATAATAAGACTGCATTCTGGTTGCGCGTGCCTCAAGTCGGTCGCTGGGTGGGTAAGTCATTGCGACGAAGGCGTGATTGGTTGATCAACCTTGTAAGACCTCTCGCCAGGTGGTTAGGGTGCAACGATAGCTTGGTAAAGTACTTTTCCTTCTGTTCTGCGATCACTTCTTTGACTGGTAGAATGTTTAAGTCGCGATGTATGGTTTCGTTGCGAACGTACCACGGTGCCCCGGTGATTGTTCTCAAGATCTTCGACTGAGCTCGCTGGACTATGTCAATATTGCTATTGCTGGCATTCCCCCATAACTGAGAGCCGTACATCCATATAGGTTTTAGTACCGAGTTATACAGCAGGACTTTATATTCAAGACTAAGGGGAGACCGAGCGTTGATAAGCCAATGAAGGCTACTGGCTTTTAGCTTTAGGTGTGTTCTTTTGGCTTCATTGTGCCGGCGCCATGTGAGTCTTCTGTCGAGGTGTACTCCTAGATATGTCACTTCGTTTGCTTGCGGGAGTAGAGTATGGTTTAACATGAGCGGCGGGCAGTTTTGCCTGTTCAGGGTGAACGTAACGTGCTTGCATTTTTGTTCGTTCACTTTAATTCGCCAATCTGATAGCCACTTTTCTACATCGACCAGATGAAGAGCGAGCTGCGCAGTTGCTTGCATCGGGCATTTTGAGCGGCTGAGAATGGCTGTATCATCAGCAAACGTAGATGTTGTTAGTCGTGTGCTTGTTGGGATGTCTGCTGTGTAGAGGACATATAATGTTGGCCCAAGCACGCTTCCTTGAGGAACTCCAGCTCCAATAGTGAAATCGTCAGTTATAGCAGTGTTGCATCGAACAGCAAATTTTCTGTCGTAGAGGTAAGACTCTAGAAGCTTATGGGTGTTGTAGGGGAGCATTGTCTTGATCTTGAACATTAGACCTTCTAGCCAAACTCTATCAAATGCTTGAGAGACGTCTAAAAATATGGCAGTACAGTACTCTCGTTTTTCGAACGCGTTCCGAATTTCTGATGTTATCCGGTTGACCTGCTCAATTGTTCCGTGCTTTTCACGTAACCCAAATTGATGTGACGGAATTCCTTCCTGGATTCTTAGGTATGTGTTTATCCGAATCAATACGCATTTTTCAAAGAGTTTAGATAAGCATGAGAGTAGGCTTATAGGTCTATACGACGTGGGAATTGTGTGGTCTTTTCCTGGCTTTGCTATCATTATTATAATCGACTTTTTCCATCTCACTGGAAAGTGGCCAAGTTTTGCGATGGCATTAAAAAGCTGGGTGATAGTGCAAACGGCGCAATATGGGAGCTCAATGATCATTTTGGGAGTTATGAGGTCGCAGCCCGGGGATTTTTTCGGATTCAGCTGATTTTTGATGATGTTAACGATTTCGTTTGGGCGAAACTCAATTGGTTCATGTTGAAGCTGAGGCTCATGTGGTAAAGTCGGCAAGGTGAACGCACTAGTGGCAGGATTTGGTTTGAAGACATTTTTAAGGTGGTTGGCAAACGTGCTGGCTCTGTCTGCATCGCTGCGCGCCCAGCCGCCTGTGGGGTTTCTAATAGGCATCACGGTTACTTTCGGTGAGCTTAGAGTAGGGTGAGCTCTCCATAGTGAGTGTTTTGTGCTAGATGTTGACAATTGCTCTATGTAGCGTCGGTGGACATGTGCTTCTTCTTGCTGTAAAGCTTTTGTGAGTTGACGTGAGGCATATTTGAAGCTTTGCCTAGCAGATGGTGATCTGTGGAGTTGCCACTCTCGACGTAAGCGTCGCTTTTCGAGGACGAGCTGTTCTATTTGTAGATTTGTCATCTTTTGGTTGCTTTGTGTACTTGTAGTTTGGGGTGTTGAAACTCGAGCTGCAGAGACGAGTACAGACTCCAGTGTATTAACAAATCTGTCTACGTTGGCTTCATCGTTGAGATGAGGACTTAGCTCAATGTGTGAGCTAATGTATTTCTTGTACTTAACCCAATTGGTTTTCTGAGATGTCAATTTAAACGATTGCTCCAATGCGCCTGGATGTCGGAGAAGAATAAACAGGACAGGCGAGTGATCCGATGAAAGATCCGAGAGGCATTCGGCGCTTATCAGATTTTTAGAAATGTTTTTGGTAATTGCAAAGTCTATTAAATCGGGTAGTTTCCTTGGGTCTGCCGGCCAGTATGTTGGTCTGCCAGGAGAAACATAGTCCAGCTTGTTCTTGGCTTTTATAACTGCATTATAGAGCTGTTTTCCTTTTGGAGTCACGAGACGTGATCCCCAGTGTGTGTGCTTGGCGTTGTAGTCCCCTGCTGCTATGAAGTGGTCTCCTAGTGAGTTGAAAAACTGCATAAACTCATCTTCAGCTATGGTGAAGCGAGGGGGGCAGTATATGGCGGCTAGTGTAAGTTGGTTGCCAGTATTTGTTTGTATATTTATAGATGTGGCCTGTAGATAATTTTTAGCAAATTTGTTATGATAGTGGTGCTTAATACGGCTTCTGATTAGAATTCCAGTCCCACCATGTGCTTTACCATCTGGATGATTTGTTCCGTAAAATGAGTAACCTCGTAGTTGAAAATTGTATTTATTTGTAAGGTGTGTTTCTGAGAGCAGCATTACGTCGATATGGTTGTCGAGTAGGAATTGAGCTAACTCAAGTTTATGCTGTGAGACGCCGTTAGCGTTCCACGTAGATATCCTTAGGGAAGTCATTATTTGGATTGTTGTGAAACCAGCATTTGAATCAGTAGATTTTGTTTTCGCATTAAATCTTGCATAGTTGTGCGCATAAACGACATAAACTCCGTAAGGCTTTGCTGCAGGCTGTATATCATATCTTCGAAGTTGCTTTTTGACTGCTCCGGGAATTGTTGCTGCTGAGCCGTGTTCGGTTCTTGGTATGCTGATTGCAGAAATGAACTTTTTGAGACAGGGTTAGCCAGTCCTGATTTTAAAGCGCTTGCGTAAGTCACATTTTTATCAGAGTTTAAGGGTCCTAGTGAGGATCTGGCTGCAGTCGAGAAGAAGACTTCAGGGTTTGTTCTGGAAGCTGTCATCTGTTTATTTTGGGTGCGGGCGGCAGTTCCTCTCTGGTGGATGCGACTTTTCAGCTCCTTGTAAACAGGGCAGCCTCTGTAGTTAGCAGTGTGATTGCCACCGCAGTTGCCGCACTTTTTCGAGTTGCAGTCATCTTTGCTCGTTGGGCAGTGTGCGGAGTCATGAAGATCTCCACAAACTACACACACCGGGCGCAGTTTACAGTATGACCTTGTATGGCCATATTCTTGGCAGTTCGCACATTGTACCGGGCCATTGCGTTTGTGCGGTTCCTCAACTGTAATTCTGCGGTGCAGCAGGAACTGAAGATTGTAAATGGGGTGCACTTCGTATTTCTTTAGGGGCTTATTTTCTGGTTCGAGCTCAACCTTAAAGAGTGGCTGCGGCTTTCTATCCCTGTTAAGGATGTTGAAGACTGTCTTAGCGTTAAATCCCTTCTCTTGAAGCGCCTTTGTTATCTCTGCAGGCGTTACGTCGGACTCTATGCCCTTAAGTACGACTTGCAGGCCCTTGCTACTTTTTAGCTGATACGTGTAAAAGTTCTTTTTATTCTCGGAAAGATATTTCGATAATACTCTGTAATTATCTTCAGACTTCATTTGAACCTTTGTTTCCTGGATGTTGCCCTTTACTAGAGGTATTATGTGGAAGTTATCCTTTCCAATAAGCTCGATAATTTTGTTGACAAGAACATTGGAACTTTTTTCTCGAATATAAATAGGCGGAGGTTTTGG